TGAATTTCCCTAATGACTCAGTCTTAGACTTAAAGTAAGTTGAAAAACTAGTTTTCGATGAAACGTTGCCAATGTAAGTTGGGTTTTATTGTTAATCTCCTAAAATCCTTGATCTTAGCCTGTAACTGAGGTCAACAATTGAATCTATTGTTGGATTTTCTAGGCTTAGTACACCCTGCAGAATAGAGGATGCAATTGATTCAGTTTATCTTTTATGAAGCCCTTCTGGAATTTGTCCTTGGATTTCGTGAGCAAGCAATTTTGAAGAACAATCTACATACCTACAGCTAATATTTATGATAATTTATTTTAAATTTGAAAGCATGTAAATAGATTATTACATTACGCTATAAGATTTACTATGAGAAGTAATATTTGGAAATACCTCTCCAGACACTGTAAGTAACTCGCTAGTACTATCTTCTTTGAAGTCAACATTCATAAATAGAATTTTCTTCAGTACTAAGTATTTAGTCCGTGAAGAATGTTTTTGCCTCATATCTTCCTGAGCAAATCTTGATGAAAATCTATATTTTATTTGAGGGTGGACTTAATCATGGTAATTTAATTCTTTATAGTCTAAATGACAAATTTTAAGATACCATAAACATATAGATTACGCAAAACTTCCTTTTCTAATTATTGGAAGTCTATTATGAATTTTTTTATTACTTAATGTAACTTATTTTGCTGTCCTAATAAAAGAATATAGAAACTGGATTAGTTTCGAAATACTGTATTTCCCATTTGTATGAAAGTAGTTTAGTTTTTAGATTAAATCTACAACTGGAGAACTCCTGATTTATTAACTTGTAAGTGTATATATTTGAAATAAAGACAAAATAATTTTTAAGGGAATATTATTGTAGTGTGTGCTACTGATGTAAATAGTAGTATGTATCATCAATATAAAGTGAAATGTCTGGAGGCAGAAGGTTATTAAGACCAAAGAAAACAGAACGAGAACAAAGAATGATTGGTTTGGAAACGAAAGAACAATGAAGTCTGAGACGATTGATTGACATTTTGCAAATGAAATATTTACTGTATGGTTCTCAGATTTTGCTAAGATGTTCTGTAATTTTGTATTTAAATACATTTGATTATCTCCTCTCGTATTCTCGTCCACTATATTATGTTTAGATATTTGGAATCAAATTTAACATTAACTTACGAAATCAAAAGCTATATGTTGTGTTTTTGATTTACATCCCAGCTTATATATAAAAACTTAATCATTTAATTGGAAAGATAAATTTAAATGTTTATACGAATATTCGTCATGATTAGAGCGAATAGCTTGACAAAAAATGGGCGTCGAGTATAGAGAAGTCATTATATGTGAAAATTATATTTGAAATAATCACAGCGATTGAAATTTAAATAATTCCAACGTTTCGTCAAGCTAACTTGTCTGGACTTCTTCAGGGTAATAATCAAGATCAAAATCATCAAATAAATATATATGTATACGAAACGTTGGAATTATTTAAATTTCAATCGCTGTGATTATTTCAAATATAATTTTCACATATAAAATTCAAATGTGTTCTAATGTGTACTATATTTTGGATAATTTCTCAATGATAATGAAATGTAGTATTCAGTACCCGAAGTGAATATTAAATTTCACTTTATATTTGTATCTATAAGGATATATAGTGAAGTTAATACCACTATAGACTAGATTCTCTAACAATATTGACCTTTGTTCTCGTAAAAACAAACCAAGTTCACTTATTCCGTTTTTTTTAGTAGATGTACTTAAAATAAATAAATAAATATCAAATGCAGCTTTATACTAATACTAATTTAAAATACATTTTACAACATGAAAATTTTGTTGACTTCTATTTTTATCAATGAAATACGGGGATTTATGGAGATTATATAGTATTTTCAAAGTTGAGTTCATGAGTCAATGTAAGCTAGACCATTATTGAAAACCTAGATGCACGGCGGACTACAGTGCAAAGTGGTGCATGGAGAACAGCTGACAGATGCCTTTTCAGTAAGGATTGGAGTCAGACAAGGCTGTCTATTCTACCTCTTCCTCTTTCTTCTGGTTATTGACTGGATTATGTAAACCTCAAAATCTGACGGGAAGCACGGAATACAATGGACAGGTCTGATGCAATTAGACGATTTGGACTTTGCAGATGACCTAGCCCTCCTATCTCATACACACGAACAAATACAGACGAAAACAACAAATGTAGCAGCAGTCTCTGCATCAATAGGCCTCAACATACGCAAAGGAAAAAGAATGATTCTCAAATACAACAGTGACACAGTCACACTTGATGGAGAAACTCATGAGGATGTAGAAACATTCACGTACCTGGGAAGCATCATTGATGAATAAGATGGATCTGATGCAGATGTAAAGGCGAGGATTGTCAAAGCAAGAACAGCATTCCTACAATTTAAGAACATATGGAACTCAAAACAACTCTCAACTAATTCCAAAGTGAGAATCTTCAATACGAACGTCAGGACAATCTAACTGTACGGAGCTGAAACGTGGAGAACTACTACGAGTAATTATAAACAGTTGTCTACGCAAAATACTCAACATCCATTGGCCGGATACTATCAACAACAGCGTTTTATGGGAGAGGATAAACCAGCTTCTAGCTGAAGAGGAAATTAGGAAAAGACGTTGGAAGTGAATAGGACATACATTAAAGAAATCATCAAACTGCATTGCGACGCAAACCCTTACCAGGAATCTGGAAGAGAAGAGTAAAAGCGAAAGGCCAAAGAACACATTACGCAGGGAGATTGAAGCAGATATGAAAAGGATGAATGTTAACTGGGAAAAATTGCCCAGGACATGGTTGGATGGAGAATGCTGGTGGGTGGCCTATGCTCCTCCACGAGAGGTAACAGGCGTAAGTAAATAAGTAAGATGCACAGGATAGTTAATATTCATATATGGATGTATATTACTTAAAATGACATATTATTTTCTAAAATTATTTCAGTCATAAAATTTAATGCATAATTATTATATAAATGTTCTCTTATTTATTTAATGTTTTTAGAAATTTAGTTTTCTGTGTACCAAGAGAGGGAGAAGAAATAAATATGTGAAATCTTGAAAATTGTTTATTGCTTAATCTGTCTATTTATATTAATGTAGATTAACTAAACAATTGGTTTGTGATATTTTTATTTTGTCCTAAGACTAAGCTTTTGTTTGCCCATTTATATGTTATTATATCTTGTACTGTTCTTAAATTGTAGTAAATTGATTGTAAATCGGTTACTCAGTTTTCTTTCATAAGCGTCCTAGTAATGTATACAGTGAGATTCATTATTTATAATTCATCATAGTCTAGTAATTTGTGAGTTTCTAAGTGTGAATCGTATAAAATAATACAAGGTACTTAGCTGATCTTTTCAGTATTCTTATAGAGCTACCGAGAAATCGGTGAGAATTCATTGTAAGCTATGGATTTTTTTAGCATAAACTTAAATAATATCAACAGACTGATAGTTATTGGTCATGGGCAGAGGTAAATTTATCTCAACATGAAGATGATCTCTTCCCTCATGAACTGACATTCGTTCATCTTAACTTCAATAATTATTTTGCTGATGACTGCCAAGTTATAAGGAAAATTAAATTTTGGTGGTGTTCCATTTTCTGAGCTTAATAGTTTCTTTATCGTTGTAGACATCGTCAACATATACTTTATGTAGGCGTGGTCTTTAATTGAACTATTTTTATCTGAAAACACAACTCCTAAAATACCAACCTGCATTGTCAATCTTCTACATTATTACATAGTCATTTGCAAACCTTCTTTGAATTTATATTATTTAGAATATATCTGTTTAACACATCAAAATAACTGATAAACTTTACTAGTGGTTTAGATATCATTAAGAATAGATAGGTGATAAATTTTGTTGAGAATGAATGCTATGTTCCTTTTAAGTAAAAAGTACTTAGCTCGACACAGTAAGGAGTTACACGAGTCTGATTTTTAGATAAAAGTAAAATTAATTGATGTAAAGGAATTATAATCGGGCTTCTCAGTCAATTGTCAAATGTAAATTTTAATTTCACTAAGAATAGTTGATGAAAGTTATTTGGATCTGATGTTATCGAAAACCTGACTAACTGGATCCTAAGCATTGTAGGTCTTCACTTCAATAAATGAAATTGATTCAATTTTCATAGTTGAAAGCGTGAGTCAATTTAAGCTAGACCACCATAAAAAACCTGGAAGCACAGGACGGCCGTTTCATCCTATTGTGGGACTCTTCAGTAATGCGCGTCCACGACCTCGCCTCGTGAAATTCGAACCCAGGACCTACCAGTCTCGCGCGCGTGCACTTGACCGATAGACCACTGAGAAGGCATCTGATGGTGTTTATGTCTAACTCCAACCAATCCACAAACTTGAGCAACCGTTCACCAATGGTCTTTAGTGAGTTCCTATCTCACAACAGACGTGGTTTAAACTCCACTGGTCACTGCTTCTCACTAGAACTCCAGGATTCGCCTTTCGAAGTCAGTCACTAGTGAGCATACGATTATAAAGGGTTTTGTGGAGATTTAGTATTTTCATAGTTGAAAGCGTAAGGCAATTGAGAAAAACAATATGGAAAGTGAATAATTGTTTACCCTTTTACATAGATAACCGATTTTATTGTTTTAAATCATAATGAAAAGTAGATAGATACATAGAATAATCAAGTACATCTAACACTATCAATAATATCTTATAAATGATTCTCACTTATACACATGTAAAATGATCTAGTTACGAATATGGTATGAAATCTTGAACTGAAATGGCTTAAAATCAATCTGGTAAAATAGAGCTATAAAAGTAACGTAAACTATTGTATGCATATGAATCTCGTTTAAGTGGCAAATAATTTAAATTGTATTAGAGTCAATTTACTATTTTAACTATCTCAATATTGTTAATTGTCAGATTGTTAAAGAAATGAAAAACTAGATAATTAAATAATCCACTTACCTTTTCATAACTCTGTGCTGATATAACTACAACAAATATATAAACACCCGAAACAGGAACAGTGAATATACCCGTAGTATTATCATATCCGCTGCCGAGATTCAACATAACTGATTCAAAAATTAATTGACAATTTTTGTTCACTGGTTTATTCTCAATACTTTTTGATAAACCTGTATAAAAAGCTATTTGATATTCTACTGGTCTAGGAATCCATATAGGTTGTAATTTTGCTATAAAGAAAAGCAATTTGACAAATAAACAGGTATTAAATCAAATGGTTTTTCGGAGCGGATTAACATCGAGAACTGATGACTCCAGAGAACAGATGAAAATCATGAAACACTTGACATTATGTGCTTAAGTAACAATAACTATGTACTCATTAGTAGCTATCCATAAAATTGAATTTCTCGAGTCCCAAAGGGAACTTGTAACCTATGAATCCATCTAAGTCGTATGTGGGACAACTACTCACAAACGACAATGAAAGAGGAGCACGTAAGATAACTGGATAACTAAGGCTGGAATGTTAGACTCACGACATTAACGTCATCTTTGAGAGACATAAATGTCTGGGAATTAATAACATTTAGTCAAGAATTCCTCATTTTACTAAATACACAACACTGATTAAAGCCATTATTATCAGTAGTAGTGTTTGTATCATTATTGTGTTCATGAAATCATTCTGATGAAATGTCCTAAACTAAGGTACAACAGTTGTTTACTGCACCTAGTGTATGTAAAACTGATGTAAGTTTGTGATGAAACGTGATCTCAGAATATGTAATTTGAAATTGATTAATAAAGCTAAATTATGATTATACATTATGAAAATATCTTAGAAGGTCAATTCATCAAGACTACTGATTGAATGTCTGTTGTAGTATGCAATTTCTTATCGCAAAATTTAAGTAAATGATTCATTTTGAAAGATCTATACTAATATAATTAGTAGTGTATTACGATCATATAGAAATCTTTTACAAATTCAAAACAATGAGCCAAATCAGAAATTAAGAACACTTTAAACTTATTTTCATTATGGGGGTTGTTTCTGGAGATTTTTAGTGATTTTTTACATATAGTTGAAATCAACCAGATCTATTGGAAGATATCAACTCACTGAAGACATTGCTGAAATGGTTGCTCAAATTCGTGGATCAGTTGAAGTTAGATATTAATACAGTTGGATGTGTCGGCTCAGTGGTCTATTGATTAAGTGCTCTAGCGCGAAATTGGTAGGTCCTGAGTTCGAATCTGGCGAGGCGGGATCGTGGACGCGCACTGCTGAGGAGTCCCACAATAGGACGAAACGGCTGTCCAGTGCTTCCAGGTTTTCTATGGTGGTCTAGCTTCAATTTACTCATGATCTTAACTATATGTAAAAAATTATTTTTAGAAAAATTATCCAATTTCAACTACTGGTTTATAGTAACAATACTGATGTTTACTCATCTAAATTGATTGCTATAATTTAGCAAGATAATGTTTAATTATTTACAAACTAAATTTTGTACAAAAGATCTTGAAGGAACCAAGAATTGAATACATATATTTGTGTGGAATAACTAACTATGCAATTTCAACAATATTCTGGCCTAGTTCGCATTAATAAATTTCGAGTCACTAAGGTAACAACGAGTTATGAAATATACATATAAATAAGAGGCTTCATTTAAGCTAATTAACATTTTTGTCTATTGTACTTTTAAACTAATAATTAACTTTATAGTCGTTAATGAAAATTAAATAACAACCAATCAAATTTCAAGACAGAATTCATTAAATATTTCTATAATCAAGTTTATTCAGCAGATAATGAAGTCAATATTTTATTCTATGATTCCCATTAACTCTATCTTTGTAGGTCAGTTCTAGTAATTAAATTAGTGTTAAGAATAGTCTTATAAAAAAAAATAAAATATGTGTATACGAAGACCGATTTTTATATAATTATTGATTATGGTGTTAAATAATAGGAAACTGTTACGTCTTGTAAGTTGAACGCTTTATTCAGATCCTAAGCTAGTTCCGAGACCCCCGAGCTAGAACTATACACCCACTTGAAGACCAGAGAAAAGACATAAAGTGTGTGGGAAGCGCTTTACTACAGGGTTGCTTTATGTACAGAAAATATAGGGATTTTATAGTAATTTAAGAGTCCTTGAGTTTTTACTGAAAGTTCTAGAGTACTGCTAAACATAGTAGCAGTGTATAAATCAGCCAATCAGGATATCCACATGTGACTTTTCCATTTTCATTATTTTAGTAACATAACTTCACATAACTTCTAATTAATCACTGATTGGTTGAAACGCTCCTTGATGACCCACGAGCTTGTCATGTCGCTTGCGAGAAAATTGCAGTGTCATCCCAACGGAAACACTTGATAAGATCCTGTGATGCTCATTAATAACACTTGTCTATGACTTTAAGAAAACGTATACTTTTCAGCTGCCCTGACGTATATCGTTTATTGTGACGATTACTGATAATTTTTCTGATTTAATTCAGTTATTAAAATCAGTCAAATGCAATGTAGAGCCAGGCATTCGTGTACATTGGTTCAAGTTATCGTGCTCGATTAGTACAGTAGGATGAAATAGGTAGGGAAAGTTCCAGAATAGTAGGGATCGTAACAGTATCAGTGGCGATAGAAAAGATTAAGTGTCGAGGATACAAATTAAGATATGTAAATTCATAACACAAAAATACAAAAGAAGTTATGGGGAATTTAGAATCTCAGAATTTGGGGGAAGACGCAGAATGTGTGAATCTGAGCCATTGCAAACGATTTTCAGCTGTGTCATTCAACGTCTGCAACCACTGGTTACTACAATCACGCGGATCACAACCAGGAAGTCTACATTTGTTTCAATTGCATAGTTCACTTGTTAATGAATTTGTGGACTGATTATGAGTTTTGGTTTGACCTCCCATGGCTTTCTCCCATCCTACTCCTATACTAGATAGCATCGCCCGTCAAGGCAGGTGATGAATAGTATACGCAACATATATCCCAAACGCCTCAGTTGATCAAGGTTTGCTATCTCTTCGATCGACTTCCCACCCTTACCTATTACCCTGTTCCTAGCCCAAGCATTGCTTACCGGAAGATAACTATGATCAAGTACCAGTAACCTACAAATGTTCTCTACTCTTAATGGCCGTGTTTCACATGGTTAAAGTAGAACGGAGCAAACTAATAAGTTTTCCTGCATTTGAAAGACGAATATTTTTCCAACACCACAAGTGACTAGAGTTGCCAAAAGCCAAGCAAGCCTCCTAAATCTGTGCTGAGATTTGATTGGACACCAGACCATCAGCACTGATGAGACTTCCAAGATGAGCAAAGTGGTCTGTGCGTTCAACTATTTCACTTCCTATCATTAATTCAGGAGATGACGCAAGCTAATATTGAAGAAACATCTTACAATTAGATGTCATGAATTGCATCCTAAACATAATTGCGTTGTTGCTTAAGGCGGTCAAAAGACTCTTCATTTTGTCAGTCTTCATGAAACAGAACTATGGGTCTGAAGTACGACTTCATCCTCAGACCTTGAGTTGCTGCCTTTAGTTTTACCGTTTTCCAGACGTGCCTGGGATTGCTGGACATAAAGGACCACGTATTTCGGCCAATACAGCTCGATTTAGTCATAACGATAGGTAAGCCTGACAACTATACCAAGGTAGCGGCTACGGTCGCGGATATATTCCAGTGGCTAACGATAAAGAATTTCTTGATAATGTGTGACACTGTACTGTTTTAAATTTATTTGTATCAAATAATGAAATAAGCCAATTGAGTCGTAAAAGAATTGTAGACAATTTAATGAAGAAAATGTTCCTTCCGACCATTCGATTATTAAGGCTACAGCTGTCCACAAATCACTGATTTACATGTTCTTTAGACATTTCTTTTGTAGATAGTCTTGAACGATGATTTTGACAGTCTCACGTAATCAGAACTAACTATATGTTTGAGGAATGGGGTAGTGATTGACTTGAAGTCCCGTTTAAATAGCCACGCACTATCGTGCTAGAATAGTCGTTTGTCAAGTGAACGCTTTTTATGGCAAGACTTGTCTACACAAAAGCAGTTAAACTGATAAATGCATATTAAGGTAGCCCAAGGTGATATTTTTTCAAATCCACACTTGATTTCTGTTTATAAAAGTCATGATCAATTCCATGTTACACTTCGACCCTAGCACTCTTTCTAACTTAATAAATCGTAAGTGCCATTCATTATATCAATCTGGGTTTCTCTTTTTTTGTAAAGAAGACACTTACCGTTTACATTTCTAAACTGAATAGTTCCTATGACCTCTTAAACTATAAAACAACCTACGTTAAACATTTGAAACTTTGATAGATTTTTATTAGTTTATTAAATTATGCAACATCTCTTCATTTTCACAGACTTTTATGTTCCATACTTAAGAGTGTTTGAGCATTCTTGATAAATTTACTAAATAATAGAATACTTTTCTGTTTTACTGTAGATTGCGGCATGTAAAATTAAGTCACTCTGATTCATTACTGAGTGATAGCTAATATAATATCAGTTCAGTTCTCATTGATGGATAAAATTCACTGATTTTCGGTATAATCACTAGTTTAAGTTACTAAATATTGTATGTCTTCAACTAACACATATTGAAACGTTGTTTACAAACAATCGTTATTCATATTTTTATATTGTTTTTATCAGAATTCAGGCGTGATTTTTAAACTAGATCAATCTCCAGAAAAAGTGACTATAGTTTCTTCTGTGAAGCTCCAGACACTTATAAATATGAAGAAAACCGTCTAACATTATATTTTTGCAAGTTCATATATAAAGACTGAAATTTCGGTTGTAAATCTATTAAATCATCACCAGGATAATCAGCGTTTAAAATCTATACTTTTTCTTAGATGCATGGTTTAAAAATTGGCTGGTAAAGGCGTCAAAGCAAGGAAAAGATAACTTTTTTTGAAGTGTCGGTTTTAAAAACATAGGAGATGTGACATATCTCAGTGTTTCCTATAATATTTGCTTTGAGATCTAGGCGTTAAAATTGCAGTTCACTTTCATGGATAATTTGATAGCACATCATTAAACGTTCTTTTAACTTACTTGTTTCTCCGCGAGGACCTGGTGGTCCAGGATTTCCTTGTTCCCCTGTTGGTCCAGCTGGCCCTCGAGCTGATCGAACAGGTATGCGTACACGACCATATCCAGATGAACTAGCTCCGATACATTCTAGTTGTAATTGGCACGTAGATGAACTTTGAGAAATGTTTTTTTGAATATGTGTTGTATTACAAGTTAGTAATAATAATGATAATAACAGAGGGGCTACAAAAATTACGTTTAAATTTAACTTCTTAGTTTTGTTCATTTTTTCAGTGAATTTATGAAACTTTTAAAATAACCTTGTTTTAGCTATTTTTAGGTTCCATAATTCATAAGGAGAAATCCAAATCCTTTTCCTCTTGTCCGATTGGTGGTTTGAAAGTAGCCAATCAGAATTCAGCAATTTGTATCAGTTTGCATGGAGCTGCAAGGCGGTCTAAGAAACATAGTAATCCACATCCACTTAAACTAATTAGATCCTGTATTCAAACTTTTAAAATTTACAGTAAACACTTCAACCATGGAAAAGATCTTAGGATATGGTTTTCCTTTCCCTTCTATATTATACGATTGCTTTATTAAAACCATGAGAGCTTAATAAATTAAGATGAGTAAAACTTTAGTGAAAACAATCTATTTATAGTGCAACATACGATATGCAAAGTACAGATCTAATTTCTCACTGACCACTTGAAACAGTAATTTGTTTTGCTTTGGACGTAGATAAGACGCCCTTTTATTTGCTCATAAAGATCTCATTCTCCTTATTTTCAGCGTTATAAGTTTTGGCTTCTTTCATTAGTGCTGATTATTCTCTAAAATGATCCTTTAGTAAGATACATGAATTTAAGCATCCTACTATCCAGGCCTACCTCGTTGAGTTTCATAAATTGGAGAAAGGGGTCAGAAACCTTATTGTTAATGAGGGCTTTATCTCAGAAATTGATGTGGAGGCACAACTCTGTCTTTTGAGTAAGTTTTTCATCTGTTGACTAGTGTAAAATGTTTTCTATGAGATGATATTATGAAGTAATCATTTTGCGGTTTTCTTTGACGACTAGTAATGATGATGATAACATTTAGTGGTCACACTGTATCAAGTTATTACTTCAATAGCACTGTTAAAATATCCATAAAATATAGCCCATATACATGAACCATACTAATTGACTTTACGAATACCATGATGAATAAATATTGAGTATTTATTTACATCTGTCTAGCTTGAACATTGTTGAGATGATATGCTGGTGAAATTGTGAAAGATAATTCAGTCGTGACTCAAATAAAACTTATTGTAATTTAACGTCTGTTTAGCATTCAAGCAGTGAAGCTTTGTATTCCGCTAATGTCACCTCAACTATGGTAAATACCTTCTTGATACGGGTTTTATATATTTCGCCACGGTAGCTTACTTTAAGTTGCTGACTAGATTTTAGCAAAATCGAGTGAACTTATCTATTTTGAACTTTATCATATATTACGTAACATGATGTTTTGAAACAAATTCCCGATCTCGCTTAAGTTCTACGAACAACATTAAAGGGTTGATGAAGTAGTGATTACTAGTGACGCTTTAGATGTCCATTTCATCTTGTTTAGTAAATATCTACTGAATGTATCTGTACTCCAACAACGATGTTGCTTTTATTAGAACAAAAAATTATTGGCTGTTCAATTTCGTTATTAATAACAGTAAACAATTTAAGTGTTTGGCATTAGTAACCTTTTCGAACAAATTTCCTTCTGGAAAACACTATTTATCGATGTCCCAAAGACTTTCAAACAAGAATAGTGATCAACAATAGATATTTCCGCGAATTTAAGGCAGTATACCTAACGAAAATTCACAAAAACCAGTATATTAACGTTATAGTTAACTATGGGCATCTACATGTTACTGTGATTGATAGTCTTGTTGGACTTTATTTCTCTACATTTTTGTTGATCTAACTCAAATCTGAGACCTAAGCTACATGTCTAGTATCTGGCAATGCCAACCTCTGGCTCGCTATTTAAATATATTGCTAAGAAAATTGAAATTTCGTTGACCTGACAGCCTTTTTGTAACATATTCACTTGTTTGTTATTTAGAGAAACAATTTTAATTTCAGTTGAAACTCCGATTATCAAAACCATTTTTACTACTATGGTTTCTATGAAGTGATTGCCTACTAACCGTAACCATAATAATCAGATTGGACTACATGTATTACAATTATATATTGGAAAATCTAACTGGTTTCTTCCTCCTAGAGAGCATAAATGCAGGCTGAACGGATGGAACCAAATAGAAGTACGTAATCAGGCCATAGAGTTGAAGAGCTGTTCCAAGTCATCTACACTTTCTAGTTGACTGATTCGCTATAGTTATAATGTGTTTGGAAACTAAACATCATGGACCAAACCCGATTGTAGTGATAACAGTTCTTTATCTTCCTCTAAGTTCTGAACATACTGTTATTCCATACTTTACATTCCTTAATTATAGCCTTCCCGTCTCAATTGTATTGCTCACGTCAGGTTCTTTAATGTCATTAATAATATTGTTCTTAATTTTCAGTAACCTCTGTTGAACTGAGCGACAAGAAAGTCAAGAGTAGAGTCCAGGAACAGCTGAGGTCACACTTAGGTAGTTCTAAAAAACAAGGCTGACCCATATGTTGCTTGGAAAGATATACGAACAACTGTTGAAGCAGCAGTGACATCTCTTAGTAATTTAAGTCAAAGGGTTAAAAAAACTAATGGATTTATTCTAAGTCTATTTCACTGATGGATTCTCGAAAACTCATCCCATCAGGCTCTGAACACGATGAGGAACGAAAGTGAATCAGACCTAGATTAAACAAAAGTCTAGGGAACGACCGTGAGCAGTGGTGGGAAATGAAATCAAAAGAGGTGGAAAACACAGCGTCTGTAGATAACACAAGACAGCTCTTCAGACTAATAAAAAACCGGAATTAAGAAGTCAAGTGTAAGCGAGACAATCTCGAAAAAAGACGACACTCTTATCTGCTCTCAGCCCAGACGTTTAGAACGATGGGTGGTCTTCCGCTACTCTAGAGTTACCCACCATTCTAAGACAGCCAGAATGGAACATTGAAATGGGACCCCCGAATCGAATTGAAGTTCAAAGAGCTATAGGTAATCTGAGATGAGGAAGAGCAGCTGGTGTAGATGGATTAACTCTAAAGGTCTCTAAATATGATGGTCCAATTTTAGCGCTTAGGTTGACTAATATTTTATTTAAACTCTGGGAGTTCGACGTAATCTCATCTGACTAGTCACAACCACTGGTTGTCCCAATATACAAGAAAGGGTCAAAATCATCCTGTGATGACCATAGAGGGATTAGTTTGACTGATATAGTATCTAAAATACTAGCCTCAATGATTACCGGGCGCCTAACAAAAACTCGTGAAATGCAAATGCGAAAAAGTCAGGCTGGCTTCAGACCTGGTCGTGACTGTATCGATTACATACTCACAGTTTTTCGGATTTCAAAATTAAGACATGTCTATCGGTATTCGACAATGATAATTATTCTTGACTTAAAAGCAGTACTTGACTCTGTATATCGAGAGGTTCTGTGGCAGTGTCTGTCATTGAAAGGTGTGCCTCGGAAGTACATAAAACTTGTGAAGGCTCTTTACCCAGTCGAGTCAGAGCTTATAGCAAACTGTCATCTGATTTTTCAACATCAAGTGGTATCCGACAAGGATGTTCACTATCTCCATTTTTGTTCAACATCATCATAGACCTACTGTTAAGAATAACGTTCTCGTCGACTGAATTTTCGGGCACTGATCTCCTACCAGGAGGAACAAGAAGGCAGGAATCAATATCAGCCGAACAAGAACAGAGAAAACCAAGGCACAAGCTGAATACATAGAAGCAAACAAGCATATGAAGAGGAGCATCAGAACCGACAAACGTAAATATGTGTAAAATCTAGCAATGACGGCGAAAAAGGCTGCAAGAGAAGGAAATATGAGACAATTGTTTGATACAACAAAGAAACTCGCTAAAAATTACCGTAAGCCAGAACTACCAGTGAAAACCAAGTAAGGCTAGGTAGTCACCAACATTGCAGAACAGAGAAACAGGTGGGTAAAACACTTTAAAGAACTCTTGAATCAACCAACTTCACTGAACCCACCCAACATCAAAGTAGCAACCACGGACCTCTCAATCGATGTTGGCACATCAACAATTGAAGAGATCAGCATGGCCACCGGACGAATCAAGAGCGGCAAAGCAGTGGGACCAGGCAACATTCTAGCAGAGGCACCGAAAGCAGATGCAGCAATAACTGCAAAGGTACTCCACATTTTCTTGAGTAAGATTTGGGATGAAGAACGAGTACCAACAGAATGGAAAGAAGGACACCTGATCAAAATACCAAAGGAAGGCAATCTCAGCAGGTGTAATAATTACAAAGGTATCAGTCTTCTCTCAATACCAGGAAAAGTCTTCAACAGGGTGTTGTGAAACAGAATGAGGGACTCCGTAGACGCCCAACGTTGAGACCAACAGGCTGGATTCCGTAAGGACCGATCGTGTACAGACCAAATCTCAACTCTACGGATCATTGTGGAACAATCAATTTAGTGGAATTCATCACTCTACATCAACTTCAATGACTAAGAGGAAGTATTTAATTGCGTGAACAGGACAACATTATGGAGGCTACACTACGGCGTGCCTGTTATTTATTTAAACACATAAATATTGGTACAAGGAAGCACCAGATACATATGCGCCTTACAAATCTCATTTGATTTGTGTGAGGGCTGAGATACTGCCCAGGTGCCCAGACCCAAGCAGGTAGTTTTCTTAGGGGGCCACACCCGGAGCCTTTGACCTAAAAGTCTGATCCATAAGGCAGTGGAGCATTGTGAGGAGATGCAGTCCCATGGTAACCGGTGGCCAACAATAGGTTCATACGCCATTCGTTCCATCAGGATACTGGAGCCCATGTGCACCATTGGTTTGGAATCAGGGTTTTCCAACTCCCCTAGGTGGACCCTCCATGTCCACCAACCCGGTTAAAGCGCCGGACATTCGCTTTTCGTCCTCTCAATTTCGTAAACAACAGTGATGCTACGAGAAGACAGTGAGTAGGACTTCCCTGGCAGAGGCTATATACTCGTGGCCATGTGAGAACATTTGGAGAGGGAAAACGGACTCTCCCCACTCTCGGCCGTACCAGGGCATTTGGGGGCGTGCCTGAGAAGATAGTCAATATCATACGGAATTCCTATGATGGATTAAACTGCAAAATCGTGCATGGAGGACAGTTGACAGACTCGTTCGAGGTAAAGACCGGTATCAGTCAAGGTTGCTCACTCTAACCCTTTCCCTTTCTCCTGGTGGTCGACTGGATCATGAAGACGTCAATATCTGGAAGGAAGCACGGGATACAATGGACAGCTAGGATGCGGCTGGACGATCTAGACTTCGCAGATGATCGGGATGTTCTATCGCACACGCAACAACAGATGCAGGAGAAGACGACCAGTGTAGCAGCAGTAGGCCTCAACATACCCAAAGGGAAAAGTAACACTCCAATACAACACAACACGCATCAATAGAATCACATTTGACGGAGAAGCTTTGGAGGATGTTAAAACCTTTACATATCTGGGCAGCATCATTGATGAGTACGGTGGAACTGATGCATATATAAAGGCGCGGATCGGCAAAGTAAGGGCAGTATATCTACAATTGAAGAACATCTGGAACTCAAAACAATTGTCAACCAAGACCAAAATCAGCATTTTCAATACAAATGTCAAGACAGTTCTACTGTATGGGGCGGAGACGTGGAGAACTACAAAAACCATCATCCAGAAGATACAGGTGTTTATTAATAGGTGTCTACACAAAATACTTCGGATCCGTTGGTAAGACACTATCAGCAACAAGCTACTGTGGGAGACAACAAACCAGATCCCAGTAGAGGAAGAAATAAGGAAGAATCGTTGGAAGTGGATAGGACACACATTGAGGAAATCATCCAACTGCGTCACAAGGCAAGTACTCACATGGAATCTTCAAGGCCAAAGGAGGAGTGCAAGACCAAAGAACGCATTACGCCGAGAAATGGAAGTAGACATGAGAAGAATGAACAACAACTGGATAGAACTAGAAAGTAGGATCCAGGACAGATTGGTCTGGAGAATGCTGGTTGGCGGTTCATGCTCCATTGGGGGTAACAGGAGTAAGTAATCAAAAAATGATGGTGAATCAGTTGATACGGTTTTAAATTTTCATCGACTGAGATGGTTGGGCCACATATTACGTATGCCTGAACATCGATTGCCACGACGCGCAACGCAGACTAGTACTGGAGAAGGTTGGAGGAAAGTTAAGGACGGCCAAACAAAAACGTGATATCAGTCATTGAAGTCACTAACTTCTAGTCTTAGCCATGTTGGTAGATTCAGACTACTCGTTTGGGGTCCGCGCGACTATCGTAACCAGTGGTTAGAGACTCTGGATGACATGGCTCAGAACCGATCACAATGGCGTAGGTGTATACACTCTCTGTCTTCCCATAAACTGTGAGATTAAAACTGCTTTATATCTTTTTGCCAACTAATTCTTTCTTCCTGTACTATATCTTTATACACAATTTTCCTTTTACATATTACTACCATTGAAGTAAGTACTTCTATGAATTTTGTGTTCATCTTCTTGTGCTAATGGGGTGTGGCAACTTGGACCAAGGCATATTTTTGCCTGGTCCCACGTTGTAGCTGACTAAGGTAGGGTGTGGGAGATAAGGTCAAAACACGATCGTGTGAACTATCGTATTGTCTGAAGCTGACCGAATATCCAACAAGATGATTCAGATTATTCTTACAGTATGGTCTGCTTCATAACTACAAGATTAGTCGCTCGGTAGTCAGGATTGTACAAAATACGAGGAATGTTTACAAGCTAGATTAATTACAATTATATTATCACTTTCCTGTAACTGACTAATTATTTTGTGCATAAGACGGTAGCAAATACTGATATGTCGATATTTTTCCAACACTTTAAACTACTTAGTCCAACTTGAAATGGTTTATATTTTTACATTGTTGTTGTTATATAACGACTACTCTTCATCGCAATATGTGCGCTCTGAGAGGATTGCATCGACATTACCTTTTATTTAAAATTGGAAAAACCCCATTATTCGACTTTTTGTTGTAACTGGTCGTTAACTAAGTCTGTTATTCACTAAATATCCTTACCACCTTAAGAGTTTTTGTATATATTAACAAATAACTAACCCTAAAACTCTCCACTGATTTGTAATCGACAGTAATGTATTTTTGAGGGAAATTATACTGGATTATACAAATACTTCTATTTGCTGGCAGTAGCATAATGTTGAACTTACATTTAACTTTTAAAGTTTTGGTGCAACTCTCAGAACTAAGAAACTCTTTTGAATTCCACCTCAAAGAGATTGTACTTAAAAACAACAGTAAATGTATAATTGATTGCTGTAGTGCCGAAAATTTGATTGTTCCCTACGTATTCAGAGATCATTGACCACCGTGTTTTCTATATTTTCAAGAATTATGCGTATAAACCCTCACCAGACATTTTAGTAATATTTTTTCAGACAGGACTTTGAATATCCACCACGACTCTGAAACCATTTCGATAACAATATGATCAATCGTTTCTTAAATATATTTATTATCATGACAAAAGCCTGATACGAATCTTAAAACTGGTCAAAAATGAACCTTGTTTTTAAATAACAACAACATGAAAAAGAAATATATCTGATTGTTATTTGGAAGTACTGTACATTATAAATGAACAACAGAAGCTTATATTACTAAAGACAACTGAAAAAAATTCTACCGTTCCTGTCTTGCTTCCGACAATTTGCAAATATCATCCAAAGAAACGTTCTTGACAAGACGACCCATACACAGACCCTAAAAAAAGTAGTAAAACATCATAACTGATAGGAAATTTGTGAAATCCATTGAGACATACTAGCTATGCTATGCTGATGGTACAAATTGCCGAGACATATTGAAAGAACATATTCATTTTCATCGATAACTACAAGTTGATTTTCCGACCAAATGGAAAGCTAATTACGGAAACGCCATAGAATTCCCTATATTTATACAACCATGATTTTAATAAAAGCACGCAAGTCCAAAAAATATATTACTAGGATGAGGTGAAGTCGATCAATACAGACTGACTGACAAATCCCCACTATATAATCATGAAAATATCAGACTAGTTTCGAAAATGGAATTTTTGATTTTGAAAGATTCAAAAACAAAAAAGAACTATCGGTTTAGTCTGGCATAACTAGCTGAGAACATGTGTATAGTCACCAGGAGCACAAAAGATTAACACGTATGTTTCTGAGAAAGGCCGATCAAAACAAGGTGGTGGGAAGAATATGATAGAATACGGACTCTTCTGAGGTAATAATTATTGACTAATGATGTCTACTATCTTAAAAGCCTACAAACGTAGAAATAGAGTCAAAAGATGAAGATATTAAAATTACTGATAACTTTTTTACACTCCATGTAGTTTGTCAGTTAGTAATAATCAATGTAGAAACTTGTACATACATGTATCACATTAATTTTTCTTATCATATTAGCATGATAAGATGCAATTAGTAAGATGAATAGCAACGGAGTCGAAATAATGTAGTTATAATGATAACGGGGGAGATGAAATATTCAAAATGTGGTTCGAAGAAAGGGCGAAAAGGTATTTATGGTGGAATACTGTGACTCAAGACCCAGAAGAAAATAAAGAGTGAATTTATCTGTGCCATTAAGGTTGATAATAACTTGGTTTTAGGGTTCATAGATTCCTTCCAATCTATTTTGTCAGTTGCCATTTCGCTTGGAAGTAGGTGGTAGTTGGGCGTACGCAACATTTTACATAGCTAACAACTACGTTGATGTCAATTCTACACCAAAAACGAACAAGACACTAAAACATCATTATTATCAGTATAGGAAGTTGTGGATGCTGTTGAATTTAATAGTTTACACCAGACCGAACAAAGACAACCATCGGAAACCAGGAAGCATTAGACAGTCATTTTCTCCTGGTATCAGGCTCATCGGCAGTGTGCACCCATGACCTTATTAAATACACGAGTTACTAATCGCACTGGAAGATGTTTGGGCAATATCACCAGCTGATTCAAGGTAAAAATGCGAATCATTAAATGATGGTTTAGTGGTCTAAAGGTTAAGGGCTTGTAACGAGACCAGAAAGTCCTAGGTTGGATCCGCGTTAGGATTTTGAATGAGCAATACTGAGGAGTTCCATACTAGGATGAAACGTGTCCAGGGTTTAATGCTTTTTAGTGGCTATTTAACAACGACCAGTCTGTGATGTTTAGAATCTGGTAGTCTGAGTACAATGTTTTAAGAAAACGATCAAGAACCTTTGTGAGTTTTTATAAATGTAAACATAAAGATCAATATGATTACGAAAATTACTTCGAGGAAAAATGTAATGGTAATTTCGAGTTTCAAAAATTATCGGTAATGTAACTACTTTACCAAGAGGTTTATGTACTCAGCTTTGGAGGATATTAGTATTACATGGTTACGTACAAAGTGGAGGCTAATTGGTCAAAAACTCAGCTTTCGATCAATATGTTGTAGGTTGAGATTTCGCTCCATTTACTTTGGTTTGGGGCGCCAATTAGTATCAATAACCCTCATACTTGATCAAAAAAGCAGTAAAGCTGTAATTTGTTAGATTAATGTATTACCTGGTTACTCAAGCCAAAAATGGGAGAATGGTGTTTGAACTTACGACCTACCTACACATTAAAACATGAGTCATTTGATCACCATGGCGCTGACCTAAGTATTGTGTTGTACGCTAGGATCTATTAGCACACTTTATCGTGAAAAGTTACCGCATGTAAGCGTTTGCTCGTTTTGCGAACGGGCTAAGCTTAGAAAATTAGTGATAGAAATGTTACTTTTCAAATAAAGCTTTGTAGTTGACGTTGTTTTATTATTTTTCAAGCATAATCATAAGGAAGGACCTCAACGATAAAGTAGCTGCTAGACATTTGTTATAAGTGGCTAACAAGTTGCCGTGTTAATATAGTATGTGATTGGATGTTATTAGTAATTGTCCTGTAACTGTAAGTAGACATATTTACTTGCCATTTTCTTTTATCTGACTTTTAGCCTTATAGTTATCATTCTTCTCATTTGTTAGATATTTTCTAAATGTATTTTGTTCCTTTTCAGTTTATTTATTTATTTTCAGTAACGGGGTTCAAACAACTGCAAAATATATTTAGATATTGTGACTCATTCTTCTGGTTTCCAGTTTTACTAAAGTATTTATGCTATAAATGCAATAACATAACATACCCAGATAGAGACAGGAAAATCACTTACAACAACCAATCACGTTCCATATTGGCAGAGCAGGATATTAGTCATTCGCGGAGAAATCCTGGCAACTAACTACGTTTTGGAGTCTGTACTAATGTTTTTTCAAAGAAAGTCGATGGAAGCCTCATGATTAAACCATTCAGTCCATAAAACATAACACTATTAAAATCTGAAGTGGTAATATATGATTTAGACACAGAAAGGTGGCACATGAACTAGCAATAATTTCGGATTGAAAATCAAGCATACTTGAGAGTTCAGATGTAAAATACGGGGCACTTGCAATTGAATGATGTAAAGTAAAAGAGCAGTAATTGGAAATTAGATTACGATAAGTAATTAAGAAGATCGAGAGAAATGTTTGCCGGACAGAATATTCAAACATTTGAAGATTTAGTTATAGAGTCAAAAGAGAACGTAAAGCAACATTAAAAGCATTAATAAAAAATCTTACGGTCATCACTGTTATTTCACACATATTCTTTTCTTTAAAAACTTGCTCTAACGTAGCGTACTCTCCTCGGTATGCGCCATTAACGATGAGAACTGTTGATGATGGTTCAGGAATAACTGTTTGAACGTGATTTTGATCCACTTTGATCTTTGTGTGACATTCCACTGTCCTTACGATAGCCTAAACAGTAAGAAGCACAAAACAATCCTCATTTTGGAGCATAAATTAATTTTGCCTTTACTTTTATCCATACCACATTTATCCTGGAGCCAAAAAATGTCTACACACAAATGAAGCGATACTATTACAGACAATAAATGACTAGACGATTGTACAACAAATAAATAACCGGACAAGAATAGGAGATGGAAGATATACCAATTTGAAGCCAGTTATTTACTATCTTTTCGTGAGTAGCTTTTGGAATGTCAGTTCCGTACTCTTCGAACCTTACTGCCGGTGATGGAAAACCATGGAGCAAGGTGGGGGATGCTAATTTAGATACAAATCTTTCTAACAGGATTTTTCTGTCTTAGGAAACAGTATCGCTGCAGATGCTGGTTTATAGGAAATACCTTACTGCCATCGCACTTTTGTACAGTCGCCAGTACGAATTGACCCTCGAAACATCAATTTTAAGCGATAAACGGATTCTAGTCTTCCGAAATAATGAAATGCTGTCTGACAAATGAACAAAGCGGCACTTCAGTGGCTCGGTATCTGACTCCAATTAGATCGTATGATGATCGCTACTGAAATATACATCCCAGCTACCCTCGTATATCTTTATCGACTTAATCCGCGTTAGTGAATAACGAAGTTGAATAAGCCAGATACGAGAATGGATTTTGAATACGTATATTTCGTGCATTCATTGGTTTGAGCAGACAATCAGGGAAACAAAATGAAAGAAGCAAAGAGGAGGGGGTGAAGTGAAACGAAAGGAAGCGCAGTGGAGAAGGCAAATGAGCAACTCGATTTCACCAAACGCGACTCGATATTTATATTCAGATAAAAATGAATTAAAGACAAGTGATGAGTAAGGTAAGTCAGAATTAATAAGCAAGTAATTGATAAGGTCAAAATGTGACTCAAGTAGAATGAATAAATTGGTCTGTACGGAAACTAGAATAACCCATGTGAGCTTGACATAGTACCAGCCAATACAGTATAATGCGGTCGGGTGATATCTATTAACGAGGTAGAATTAACTCTACCGCATAAACTGGTGTCAAACATATGAATGTATAATCGCTGGACAAAAGTAGTTCACGTAGACCTCAGAACAAGACTTCGTATAAAAAGCACAACTGGCAACAAGATAAGAACTCAACGGAAAGTATAATATTAAAATGAACAGTGATATGGGTCAGCTAAAATGTTCCTTTCAACGTCTCAGCTGCCTGTTGAGGTCATGAAGAGCTCAACCGGATATGACAGAACCAGTGCTAGATTAAGTTTCCGTAGGTGTGAAATGTTAAAAGACACCCACCAATATGGGATGTTAAAGATATCCTTAATTAACACTGCTGGTTAGCTTAGTCCTTTCAATGGACGCTGAAATTGATAGCTTTTATGACGTCTATACACTTGAGTCATACGAATTTCAATGAAATCTAAAAATGATCTAGTAAAATGTTCATTAAGTGTTTGAGCAAGGAATATAAGCAGAAACCACACAGTTTTAAGATTTTTTAAGTCCTAAGAGAACAGTTTAGATAAACAGTAGGAAACTGTACGCTGCGACGGTGAAGCGAACTTTAAAACTTATAACCTGGTCCACTCCCAACATCCCAAAGCACTCTCGAAGTAGATAGCGATACCCACGGATTTTTCTTATCAATATCAACTAGACAGGGTCAAGATACATTGGAACATGTATGCATCTCAAAATATGAATCCATTGCTTGGGATTCGAGTTTTAATTGAAGATGCTTGTGGTCAGATACAGTATAACATTCGAAAAGTGGAAACTTGTGTGTTAGTGGAAGTGTTGTTTTAGGAGTAATAATTCGTAGGCAATACGTCCTCTGTGACAGCCATAAAATGAAAGTTTTTCGAGACTGTAGGGGAAATTAAAAGAACACAAAGAAAGATTGTTAATGAAAAGGATCCTTTTAGTGATGTTGAAAATGTGCAGATAAATACCAGGACACCGACTAAGCAGACATTGTGAAGTGTACGTATAAAGGAATAGGAGAACATTAAGCAACCGAAGTTTATTTATTTGAACACGTAAATATTGGCACAAAGGGGCACCGAATACATATGAGCCACACAAGTCACTCGATTGGTGTGTGGGCTGTGATACTGCCCAGGTGCCCAGACCCAAGCAGGTGGTTTTCTTAGAGGGACACACTCGAGGACTTCGACCTAAAGCTCTGATCCATAAGGCAGTGGAGCATTGTAAAGAGATGCAGTCCCATGGTAGTCGGTGACCAACAATTGTTTCATACGTCATTTGTTCCTTCAGGATCCTGGAGCCAATGTGCACCATTGGTTTCGAATCAGGGTTTTCCAACTACCCTAGATGAATCCTCCGTGTCTACCAACCCGGTTAAAGAGTAGGACATTCGCTTTTTGTCCTCTCAATTTCGTAAACAACACCCCCGCTACGAAAAGACAGTGAGTAGGACTTTTCTTACAGTGACTGTATACGCGTGGCCATGTGAGAACATTTCGATGGAGAAAGCTGACTCTCCCCACCCTCGGCCATAACAGGGCTTTTGGGGCAACTGAAGAGTCCAAGAGGCATCTTTCAAGACTAGTGACATGAAGTCTTTTGATGTAAGTGATAAATAAGAAGTTCCGTCTACCTAATAAGTCCTACAACTGGCAAAAGGGGGTGCTTCATCCTCAAAATTAATCAATACTACACCCGTATTCTATATTTGAGCTAACTATTATGGATTCATGACATTAACAAGACAGTAACACGACTGTTTTCTAACCATCTTTAAAATTCAAACTATTTTTATTGCAGAAGTTGTAGTACAGTTTTGTTTTAAAATCTAAAATCTTGTGTTTCCGATGTAGCCACTTTTAAGACGGCTTGAACAGCATGTTAAAACCGCATAGAAAATGTTAAAATAAAGTTTGGTTGGGTGCTCAAGATGGGCAAGACAATAGCAATAGTCTGGACTCAGTTGAAAAGTTTATTTCCAGGAACATGTGAGTCACTGAGGAGGTAGTAACTTACTTAGTCTTAAGCAATAAGATGTTTGCTTGCTTAAATATATGGACTTATTTACATATCGTTATTACGCTTGGTAAGCAACTTACCTTACAACCACCCATTGCTTAAAACTAGCCCGATTAATAGATGTATAAATATCCCGAAATGGTTACAGAAATTTGATGGTATCTACATTAGCCATTATAAAAGAGATCTCGACTTGTTAATTACAGAGCTAAACTCGCTTTAGGATAGATGGAGTGAAACCTTTAGTCAGAAATATACAAACAGCAGTAGGCTGGAAATCATTGCAAAATATAAGGTTATTTGTTTCATTTCTAAAAATGTAGAAATGTGTTGCCTGACTATATATAGACTGGCATTACATAAAACTTTAAATGATGTGAATGTATAATTAGTCACACTAACCGTGTAATTATCCAGCATCTTCAAAACTGTGGCGTGTCTCCAACGTAGATCATCAGGAAGTTTGCGATTGATTAGCTTGACCTCAATCCCTTCTGTCATCCAGTAATCTCTTCGGTTTCTTTTGTCTTTAAAAGCTTCTTCTTTTTCCATTAATTCATCCAATGCACGCCGACGAACTCCAGAAGCTGCTGTAGTACGTGTGTCTTGTTTCTTTTCGGCACTAGATTTGGATTTTTCTTCACGTGCTTTTTTTTCGGCAATCAAGAGCGGATTCTGAAAGTTAAAGTGTGTAAAATGTTAAGACGGTAAAACTGCAACAACACCACGATTGCAAGTGTAGAAATTAAGTCTAAAAGTTGAAGTCATTATCAGAAGATACAAGATACTTGCTTAAAATTCAGCTTCAACAAAACCTGATGAGAAGACAAAATACACTGAACTATGACTTCGATCAACTGAAGTGACAACCACTAGCATTAAAGAGAATAGGATTGCTTACTGCAGTTCTTTCCTTTTTCGGACCCAATGTCATAAGGCTCTGAGGTTTCTCCTCTGAAGAACTTGGGGAAGGATCAGGCTCTGTGCTTACCACCTGGACAGGTGGCTTTTTTTGAGACAAAGAAATCTCCAGTTTAATTGGTTCATCTTCATTGGTGCGGACGAGAGGAGTGTATACGGGGCCTTCTGTCTGTTCAACTTTGTTGATATTGTGTTCTATTTGACGCTCTATAAGTTAATACAATTAGCAATCACGAAGTTACCTAGAAACTGTTTGTTTATTTCATCTTCCGTCTTTTCCAAACGCTCACTCTGTTCTTGTTTTTTTAACTTTTCTGGGTCGCGATCAATGTATTCGATAAACCACCCTTTCTCAGTCTCATCTACCTTGCAAATGCCCTGTTTTCCAAGCCACATGCATAGTCCTGTGAGTGTATGCCATCTTGTCGCATTCATGTGTACATGTTCTTTGTCTTTGATATATTCCTGATAAACGACATTGGAATGCACGCGTTTCCCACCGAACTGTCGACGCAGTATATCGAGATATCCTTTCAGGAAGTCAGAAGAGAAACTGCTGATGAACTTTCCACCGTCTTCAGCAAAGAGTTTCATTTGCCTGTGGTGAGACTCAGACATCGTATGGCATTTATAACCATTCTTAGAATTAACGTTGGAAAATAACAGGTACTTACTTCATCTCTGCACTGTTTTTGACACATCTGACAATACCATCGTAGTTTCTGCAATCCTTTGGATTTGATTCTGTTGGATATAGCTTTTGGAGTTAGGAAACCTGGTTTTTCTTTTGTCATCTTACAGCCCTCCAAGGAACGGACCTGGTTACACAAGGTTAGATATTTCGAAGGCCAATACTTGCGGATTAAATATCCAACATCATTTTCGGTGTGCAACTTCGGAGTAGATTCAACAGGTACAGAGAATATGATCCAAATGAATTCACGCCAAGCCAATTAGATTGTCTTATTGGATTTCATATTTCATATGACGCTTAGTTATTTCAAATTCAGATTTCAGTAAGGACAGAAGGCCTGTAGTATCTGTTTATATGTTAAGCCCATATAATTCATCCTAGTTACTGGCCAAGCTAATTCACCTATACATTATGAGTCATATTTTGATCTTGTTAATTATTCGCTTATTAACCTTGACTATGTTTTTATATGAGCGTATATGTGTACCCTTCGTATCCTATTCATCATATGTCTGTCATTCATCTATGTCTGATTATAAATATTGAGTAATGCTTGCTCATAGCGAGTTGGCTTCCCAGCCATCTCCAATGTGCATTATTTTCGTTTCGCTCTCGAGTTGGCTTCCCAGCCATCTCCGTTATGCATCATCTTTGCTTCGCTCGCTTACACTAGCTCATGTGCCCACAGCTTTCTGGTCTGCATCATTCATTAATAAAAATGTAGTTGCCGCTTCCTTTTGCCTTCTGATTTCATACACCGTTAAGATTGGTATAATAACGGCTATTGAAATGAACTATTATTGAAGAACGGCACTACAGGCCTATGATCTATGTTATTCCTCTTCTAGGATGCTTCCACGAGTGTCCACTATTCTCTTGAACGAGTCGATCGAAGGCGCGGACATCACTGCTTTAGGTAACAGGTTCTAAGAATTAATGACTCGGGGTGAAAACCTGTGTGCCACTGATATTTTGTTCGTTCTTGGCTTTTCTAATCTCCTGCTATATCCTCTGAGATGTACCGATCTAGTGACAAGAAAAAGAGAAGATATATTAGGTCGAAAACCATTCCTTAGTATTCTATACACCAAAATCAGATAACCTAATAATCTGAGATAGGACAGAGTAAAGAGGTCTAACTTTTCAAGCCGCCCTTTGTATGGTGAACCTCGGAATTCTGGAATTGTACTGGTAGCTGCCCTCTGTACTTTTTCCATGATATGTAAGTCGCCTTTTAAACAGGGGATTGCAGCATGAACGCAGTTTTCAAGCTTATTTCTCACTAAGGTTGTGTATACTGCAGTGAACATGGTAGTATCTAACTTGGTGAATGTCCGTCATAAAGGTCTTAGGGTTCTTAACCCTTAGCTGCAACTTTCTGGCAGTAGGCCGCGGTCTTAAGATCATGACTCACTATCGTTCCAAGATCCTTGGGAGATCGCACTTCTCCTATGTTGTACCTATCTATCTTTGTAACCTAAAAGTGCATGAAGGCACACTTTGTGACGTTGATAGGCATCAGCCGCTCCTTAGGCTACTTAATCCCAATATTTAATTCTGTCTGAAGTGCACATGTATCTGCGTCTCCTGTATTTTCTCACTAGATTTTTGTATCGTCAGAGTATAATAAAATTGAGGACTCTACTATACTTGAGGGTTCCTGCAGTGTCTCAGCCGGCTTCAAATAGTGAATCTAGTCTTCCTTGTAAGATTTTTACTCATGTTTCAGTGTACAAATCGCAGACAGGTAACTCTTGAGGGTAAAGTTTCGTGGTTTGTACGAATCCACTTGCACATGATTTCCTACATGAATGATTTGTCGCGAAAAACATAAAATCACCCTTGGTCTTCTGAAATCGAGAAAGACTCATATAACGAGAAATGAGCAAATATATTTCGTCCTTTAAGTGCAACATGCCTATAATCTTATGGGCTTATGAATCAAGCCGAGGGGTCGGAGTAACGAGTTATAACTAATATAGACATAGTTACCGTATATCAACTCGTACTGAGAGGTAAATAAGTCGCCAGATTAAATAGCTGTGTAAATATTCGACATTGATGCTGACCTCGCTAGTTTTATCTGACACACTCTGGAAGGTGGTCTGTCTTGCATCCTCACTAGATAACGGTCGGGTACCCTAAGCTGTCAGTATTTAATAGTCTAACCACTTGATTGCCCTAATTCTAGTCAGTTTGGCAGTTGTTTGTAGATAATTATGTCTTTTGGTTTGAGTGCGTTTGTCTCAGAGCAGCAGGGATTCTGGATACCAGTAGATAACACTTTACCAGGTTGAATGTTCCTGACATGAATATAATAAAGTGATCATTTCAGAGTTGAGGGAAGATGTCTGTATCGAGAATAAATCCTTCACTTAATTGGCTATGTGTAGGAAGACAGCATTGAAAGAATAAGAGGGAAAACGGGGGTGATGGCAAGACGGGAAAACGGTATCCCGTTCGGTAGGCGTTTGTTGATTCTTCTTTTTAAGCAATCGACTGAATGGGTTATAGTCTCTCCGGATGGGAGATCATCCCAAATGGGTGCAAATGGTAATGAGAAATTGTGGAAACGTACCTGGATGTTTGCTCTTTGTTGCGCAATATTCCGAAGGTTGCCTCCAGGAGAGTGGTGATGATGTTCTGACAATATGCTCGTGTTAAGGTAGCTTTTCGTACTTATTATGTTGTATGCTGTTTCCAGATCGTCACCTATTCCTCTGTAGCTTAATAAGAACAATCCCAGGTGTTGGAGACTATATTCTTAAAATTTTCGTTTCAATCCCATCACCAACTTGGCCGCCTGTCTCTGTTGTTGGTCTAAGAGGGGTATGTATCTTTTAAAAAGAGGTTCAGCATTAACAATGTGAAACTCAGGGTGGGGCACTGAGTACATTTTGAACAGTGCTAGGAACAACTCTGGGGTGGTTGTGCCGAGTTGTCCACACATATAGTGGAGTAATGCGTTTGCTTTTTCGCATCCCCCATATAGTTTGATGTAGTGTTTGAATGAACCAATGATTCTCTTGTATTGATGGCTGTTTTTACTTTGAATCCCAAATACAGTACATTCGTTCGTGCACATCTGATGCTTATTGATCAAATTGCGATTTTTCCTGGGATTACTAAGCTCTCTCCATAAATAAAAGCCCAAGATCACGCTCTGAAAGGGCAATAAGCAACAAATTTCTATTCAGGTTGTTTATTATTTAAGTCAATAGAGAACGAATTTTTAAGACTATTATTATGAGGTTCTTTTGAAGCTGAAGTTAATCTTTTTCGCCTTATAGTGATCTCCAGATATGTGAGTGTGATGATTAGGATCATTCGAATTATTAAACAAACTAGGGATCCCGGAAATAACGCAATTTAAATAGACAGAACTAGGTGAATACAAATGAAGGTATTGAATTTGAAATTCGAAAACGTTCACATGTCAGATAAAAAACAATCATTAGCTTATACCAAAACCACCATGCGCCGTTTACATAGATCATTGCCGCCTTGCAATTTTGCCTAAAAGATTGTAGTGGATGTCGAGTCGAAGACAGACTATGATCACCACTACAATTCGTTTACGCGCCCAAAAACGACTTGGTTCCTTTGATAGCTCGTAAATCAGAAGACTTTACTAATCCAGATCAATTGTATTTATTGGCGATCTCGTGGTATCGAAATAATACCGAGACGTGCCAAAGGGTACAGGCGAACAGGCAGTGCGTGAGCAAGTTCGAACCAAACAAGACGGAGAGCGAAAACAGAAGTGAAAATGGTACAGTAAAACAAATACGGTAAAACAATCTCTGGTACAATTGGTTACAATAATAATAATTGTTTCCGTTATTCCAATCGTGTTCTTATCGAGACTGGCCGGTCACTACAGGAGCCCCCCGCTAGAAGGGGTTTACACTTTTGATACGTAGCGGTTTCATTCGTGGGACTGATCGCGAAACGTGCAATTGTAGGACGAAGGCATTGGCAGAACAGGAAGTGATCGTTGATCCTCGAGTTACCACCAAAAGTTTTTGACGTAGAACGGTACCAGAAGGAACGTACTGTATTGATTGCTTGGATTAGCATGCTACATCAGAGTGGTTTGTATCCAGAATCTGAAGGTTGTGTTTGTAGAGGTCCGGACCAAAAACGCTGCAGACGTAGGACGAAACCAGATTGAGCCAAGGAACCAGATGCGACTAGGATAACTATGTTCGGGACCAAGTGTATACCATACGTATTTGGAACCAGAGAGGTCGACTGAGTGCGTTGACTAGAGCGTGGGTGATCAGGCCAGCTTTCGCCAAAGTTGACTGAAGTCGACGATACCGTAACAGCGATGGTCGGAGGCGTAGGCTCGGGGTAAACAAAAAAGAGAGAAAAAGAGAAAAGTGTAGCATTCGTGTAGTATAGGGTTAAGGTCCTACACTGTATCCGCTGCTGGTTATGAGGTTAGTCGCGAAAGCGTACGGGTAAGTGTACTCGGCGACCGGAACGTGAGACGGTAGTCTCGTTCGAACCTCGTGAGCCTGCAATCTCATCCACAGTCAAGGGCGGTGTGGTCTGCTGGTCTGGACGTGAGACGGAAGTCTCGTCAGTAGACGGGGCAGATGAAACGTGCTGTTGACTGGGACGTGAGAATGAGGTCTCAGGTGCATCTAGCGTGGGATCCGAAGTAGATGTAGAGATCCCGCTAGAAGCTTTGATGGGTTTAGCATTGGGTCTCGGCTTATCAGGTAGGGCACTGTCATCGACGTGTGCTGGCTTGAGACGATCAATGCTGACGATTTCGACGCGGCCATGTCGATCAACCTTGAAGGTCTTTTCGTGACGGGAAATCACGTGAAAAGGTCCTTCGTAAGGCTGTTGTAGAGGTTTGCGTACCGAATCTACTCGTATGAAAACATATGAACAGGTAGATAACTCTCGA